CTAGTCTAGCTCGACACCTTCGTTTTGAGCAAACTCGCAATACGTAGCATACTCGGACGGGGGTCCGGATCGCACGACAAGCACTGCGACGCGAGATCCACAACCCACGCCGGCGTCGTCTCCGTCTCGAACGTTGGCGCGAGCTCGCCCGCCGCGACCTGGTGCATGATGAACTGCTGGTGCATCGGCTTGTTGGTGCGCGGGTTGACCATGTCGGCGTACGGCACACGGTGCGTCGAGTACTCGGACAGCAAGACCCCTACCCCTTCTATCAGAACCTAGCCCTAAGAATGGAAGATGTACCAAACGAGTAGACGTCAGCCGCCGTCGAGTAGTCGTGGCCCGTTGAAATCTCGGGCGCCATCCACTGGTACGTGCCGATACCGTTCGTAAGGGTCTCTTCGTCCATCTCACGGGACTCGCCAAAGTCCGTGAGCTTGGTCCCCTATCCCCATCTTTCTCCGTGAGACATTGGCGTGTATCGGTGGAGAGTGGACCTTCTGTGAGTCGAGGAGGACGTTGCGGGACTTGAGATCGCGGTGGATGATCGGCGTCTCAAACGTATGCAGGTACATGAGCCCTTGGGCCACTTGGAAAATGCTGGTTAGCTTTTGGTCCCAGTGGTAGTCGTCGTGTGACATGGCCGTGAGAAACGACCGGAGATCGCCCAAGTCCATGAGCTCGACGACGCACTCGAGGTCCGTTAGGCGTGTCCAGCTCGCACCAACGAGATGCACAATGAACGGACAGTCGATTCTACGCAAATTTGAACTTCGAAAAAAGATATATCAACCAACCTCGACAAGAGAAGAATTTCAGCCGACATTTTCGCAATCGCTTTGGCCGACTTGTCTTTTGTCCGCTTGATCGCGACCGGCTGCTGCAAATACATGCCGCGCCAGACCTCGCCATGGGCGCCAGCGGCGAGCGGGGCGTCGTCGACCACCACGAGCTCGTGATGTTCGAGGCGCAGCAAGCGGAGACGGTCGAGGTCCACGTCTGCACCACGCACCGCGTTACTCGACGGTAGCGACCCCGTAATCGTCGTTTTTGTTGTTGGCGACTTGGCACTCCTTCTAGGTGCCGCGTTACGGCGCTTCCAGCAGCAGTAGCCCACGATGAGCAGCACGACAACGGCGACGCCGACACTGACACTGTACACGACTACAAGCATTCGCATGTAGCACAAGTCACTTCAAAGACGCACCATTCAAAGAGGTGTCTTCTGTCGGTGCCGGCGTGGTTGGCACCACCTTTGGCGTCAATGTCGCCAAGGTCGGCTCCATCGATCCCGTTGCTGGGTCGGCAGTTGGTGCTTTCGTAGCCTCTATCAATCGTCATTTTGCTCATACAGTTGCCCAACAAAGACTGACATACCGTGCACGACGCACACCGAGTAGGACGCCGGTGCCGCCCAGAGAGGCTGCAGAACACCACCGGCGCGAGTGCAGGCCGTCGTGTTGAGGTCGGTTTTGAAGTTGTTGACTTCGTACCCGATGTAGTTGGAGGCGGGGGTGAGGCTGTTGAGGATGTCGTAGGCTGGCTTGGCCAAGACGAACGATGTGAGCGTGCCAGAGATGGCGCTACGAGACGTTGAGTCAGAGTCGATATACGATGTGCGCTACTACGGACAAGTAGTTGAGCTTGGACCCGAAGGTCACATTCTGAATACGCGCAACGGGTGCATTGTAGAGCGAACTAGATCGCAATCGTACGACTTCGCACACTCTCGGCAGGTACATGTAGACGAGATTGCCAAAGTCGACGTTCGTAATGTCACTGATAGGGTTGCCAGCAAGACTCCTATGCCAGCATGAGATGCAAACTACACGATGCGACGATGACAAGTGCGTCCACGTGGACAGGACACTCGGGATCGTGTGGACGCCCATGTCGTCCCAGCGCCTACGACAGAACGTGACGACAGGCCGACACATTGGACGTACAGGAAGGTGACGGACGGCGGTAGCTTGGTTGGGACTTGGGTCGTATTGCCCGCGTTGAGCTTTCTAGCATAGCGTCAGCTATCGCCACCAGCAAGCACCGAACATGGACGTGAGCGTCGATGGCCACTCAAAGTCGGCCTTCAAGTTGGCCACGTACGACGCTTGACTAGTAGATGACGTGAGTGTTCGAGCATCGAGTGCTTATGGCAACGACGCACAATGATCTGAGGCCCGTCTTGGGCAAGACCATGCTCGCCAGGCACGCATGCGAGTTGACCGACCCTTGGATGGTCCTACGCAGCGTCATGAGAGGCGGCGCCGAGTTTGCGGCAGTACAGCGTGCTGAGGCCATAGAGCGACATGTCGCCGACGGCGCTGGCAATGTAGCTACCCGGGCCATTCGCGTCAGCCTCCAAGGTCGCGTCCCGGAGGTAGCTGCAGGTGCGGTTGACGAGGCATGGCGTGGACGGAGTAGGGCACAGCGCGTTGCTCACGAGGATCGCATTGGCGCCAGCGTTAGCATACGGGCACGAGGTGGCTGCCATGGCGGCGGTCGCTATCGCCAGCACGAGGAGGGCAAAAGGTCAAGTGGGCGACGGTCTTTCTCAACTTGCACCATGGTGGGATATGCGTGTAAAACCTTGTGGTGGCACGGATTGGCTGAAAAGCAAGCCAATACAGGACACGGATTGGCTGGATTGGCCCGCGAGGTGTTTTACACCATAAACCCTAAATCGAGGGATTTTAGACTGTATCATATCACAAAACGGCAGTACACGCAACGACTGCTGTGTCGGATTGTGAGTTGGCGCGTCAAATCGCCGCCGACACCATGTTCA